CATGTTTTCTGTGTATATGTGATGGTACGTGTTTATTTATAATAATAGGGCATAGACACCTAATAAGGCCTTAGAAGTGATGCTCTTTATATCGTTGATTGTTTCAGATGATGTATGTTTGTGTAAAAGTCTATAAGTTGGCCTTTAACTAGTAAAAATGTTGAAAATTATCTTTTTGTGCTGTAGTATTTGAATTTGCTTTGGATTGCACAATTGGTTACATAAACACTAAGGTTGGTGTCAGGCTTTTACTGTCCACTTTTTGGAGCTTTCCCTCTTTCTTTTTTGACTTTCCCCAAATTCAGATCGTTTAATTTGCTGATTGCCCGAATCTAAAATAAATTTCTATGGTTGTGACTGAGAGAATGAATCTTTGATGTTGTGGCCTCAGATCTTAATTTATAGAATGATTCCTTGTGCTCCCTTCAACTGTCAGGCTACTTAATTACAAAAGCACATTTGAGTTATATCACAATTACTGTACTCTGGGTTCAAATTGGTTAGAAGTCGATTTTTATTATGTATGGTGTCTATCATCTTTAAGTTTAGAATTAGGGTTGAGCGTTCTTATGTCAAATTTAACTCTTAGTTGATTATCCAGTCATTATTAACCTTTAAGAGATGTTCTTGCTGTGCAATTAAGATTTCCAGACTGATCTATTAGGGTAAAGTGGTTAACTCTAATATTAGCTATACTGAAGTTGAATAAAGATAAGATCTAGGTTGATGTTTAGCAGAATTTCAGTGTCATATAACATCATGTAGTTGCTTTGACTCGGACTGGCAGCCTTACTATAATATTTGATAATTTATTTAATATCACTTTTTTTATGAATGATGTACACAAGATAAATTTCAGATGTATTTACGACTCATTGGAATGTTTTGTGACATTATACTGACTTTGATGTCAGGCTTTTCTTTCAATCTCCTACGACTCAATTATTATTCTAAATCTTCAATCTACTTAATTTTAGCTCATTAATTTATACTTTTATAGTACCATTTCTAAAGTTTCATTTGCAGCCGACACTCTGTACCTTTACCCAGCTAGTAATTCCCTTAGTAGACAAACATCATCACAGCCAAATTCTTTCTCGATATGATGGAATTGCTTTATAAACCAATATTTTACCTCGTTGACAAAGATCCTCTCTTTCCATTCCCTTCCATCAAGTGCTATTCTTTAACTTTAATTTTCTTAGTCATCTTCTTCTAAAACTCCTATGATCCCATCAGTCCAATTTCCTTACCCATGTATCTTCTCTCTTCTTCTGGTTTCCATCTCACATGCTCTTACCATCATAGTTGGTTCTCCTTTATTTTATCATCCCACAGCAGCACTTTCTTATCTGCTCCTCTTGCATATCCATAATCAAACTAAAACAGAAATTATGAGGCAACAATGCTGTGATGAAAGATTCTGTCTTCCCTGTTGGGTGTGGTCTGAGGACAATGTAGTTCAAGCTGTAGGAAGGTTAAAGTAATTGTTCATAAGTTCATGACCATCAGAATGCTCGTGGACATGATTGGTGGGGGATGAGTGGCAAGACACTAAGCCAGAAGGTTAAGAAAAGCAATTAAGGGCTTGACACATCTGTGTTACATGAGGACAACTGCCCTATATGGACTGTGTTGGGGGGGGGGGGTGGGAGCATGTAGGTTGTGTTTTTGTGATTTTGAATTTGTGAGATTGACGTGCTAGTCAGAGTTTACATTCCTGAAGTGTGTTAACCTACCTAGCAGTTATATCCTAATTATAGTCCGCAGATCTAGGGTTTATTAGGATCTTTCTGAATGTAATTGGCATTAGGATGTTGTTTCTGATTGCAATTTGTTTGTAAGACGAGTTGAAATTCATAGGACGTTGATAATAACTCTTGTGAGTTTTAGAAAGGTTTGTGATCTTGTAAACACTATCTACTCATCGTCAATGTCCTACTGCGTCATTTTTGTGATTTTCTCTTGGTTCTTGGATTTCCACCTCAATTTGTATGTTCATTGTATATTTGCTCTTGTGTTTATTTCCACGATTTTATTATTGTTTGTTGGTTTGCAATGTCACTTTAGCACCAACATCCTTGTTAACAGACCTTCTTTAGATTGAGAAAATCCTTCTGAAGATTCTCATTCCTAGACCTATGCATCATAATTGAATGTCGATAACTTTTGCTTGAAATAAATTAGCTCTAAAATACTGACCTTTTCCCCTTCTGTCTCCTCAGAAATGTATATATATATATATAGGGCCTGCGTTTCGCGATAATTAGGATCACACTATGTAGATTCCCAGGGAATTTCTTAGCTTCTTTGGGTAATTTTGGCTCAATTGTCTCCCTCTCTCATCTTTTAATAGGGCGATCTGGTGGATTCCATAACCTTCTCCAATGGTTGTTTCCATTCTTATTAAATAGCTCACAGAAAGACGAATCTATTTCCTCCATCCTCAATGCACCTCTGATGAGTGTCTTATTCTCCTTTCTCCTGCCAGATTACTTAAATTTTTTCTCCTTTTTTTTCTGTCTACTACTCATGTCTCTGTTACATGTGACTAGGGTTGTTATTGGATTACAAACTATGACTGTTAAATTGCTACTGTATCATCTATATGATGAAAAGCTTCTGTCAGATGGCTTCATTTTGGTGATTTGAATTCATTGCGACAATGTTAACGGAGGTTTGAATTGATATCTTTTCCCTCTATGTTCATTCACTTTTCACTGATGAAAAATATTTCTTGGGAAGCCACCAGTTGGTTGACTGTACGCTTACATTGTGGCAGGCTGGAAACTGTTGTGAAGTTGTAACTCTACTGCTGTGTTGTAACTCTATCTCATCAAATGTGTTAATTTGTGATCATGAATTTGTTTCTGTTATTTCAACTTATTTATGGAATAATAGTTTTACGGAAAGATTTCAAAGAAATGTTTATATTAAGAGGTATATACAATAACTTTCCTTTGAGAATTGTGATCTGACTGTTTCCCTTATCTCAATGTGTAGCATTGGATCACCTATTCAGTTTGCAAATCTTTTTCTTGTGATCATATGGAAACAAAATCATGTTTTTATTTGACCACTTTTTTGTTTTCTAAATTTATGTAACCAGTGAGCAAGAAGATAGCAGGAATGAGTTTTCTGGCGAGTTTGGGAGAACAGGTTCCATCTGAGTTGCCTGTCGATAGGATAAGTTGTCTTCCATGCGAAGTCCTCAACATTATTCTTGAGAAGTTGCCATTATTTGATGCTGCAAGGACATGTGTTTTGGCAAAGGGTTGGCGATACAAATGGCTTATGCTTTCTAAGTTCTTTCTAGATTATGAACTTATTTCTGATGATACTAAGGATCTTAAATGGGATATAATTTTTTGTGTCACTGACAATTACTTGCTTAATCACACAGGCACAATCAAAACCTTTTACCTGAGAACATTTTGCTGGCCACACTATCCTGAATTGTATCAGTGGCTCCTATACCTTTCAAAACTTGATCTAGAGGTGCTGTTGCTCGAAGAGCTTGGAAGACAGCCATTTGAGATGCCTTCTTATATGTTTCGTTTCAAGAAGCTGCGATCTTTATTCCTTGGAAATTGCACTTTGCGAACACCATCTACATTTGGGAGTTTCAGCACTCTGTTTGAACTCTCCCTCAGAGATGTTTCAATCAATGACGACGATCTTCATCATTTGCTTCGTAGGTGCCCGTTACTGGTGAAGTTGACATTGTTGAGGATACATGGATTAGATCATTTAAGAATCCATTCCCCTTCACTGACCATGCTAGAAATAGACACCCGAATTGAGGACGTTATTGAATCCTTTGCATGTTTGGTTTTAGTTTGTATCAAGAATTCTTTCGGATATTCAGGGATGGTTCGATCCTGGCGGAGTGTTATTCGTTGCCTATCTGGTCTTGGACTCCCTTCTACGTCTGGTTTATGGAGAATTTATCACGGTAATTTGATATTCTATCTCTTATTGAACCTTTGTGATTCATAAAAAAGGTCTGTATCTTTAGTTGTATTTGTTGCTGACTTTAACTCACTTTGCTTTCACAATTTTAATGGATCTATCCCTTCTTAGATCTTGGCTGCTGATTGTGCACTTGAGAATTTTCCATCGAGGAATGATACTCTGACTTGTCTTTCCCTTTGCGATGTAAGATTTGAGACTATTGAAGTGCTCAGGGTTTGCCTTTCTTTACTAAGCTTCTGCACAAACATCAAATCTTTCCAATTTTCGGTATGCCACTTTCCTTTTCCATTTCCATCATATTACTGTTTCTTTGAAGGTACTTGTTCTGATGTGACTTTTCTTCTTCTGTGCTCTAGATTGAAGCAGCCAAAGCTCCAAAGCTGATCACTACATATTTAAAGGAAATTCGTGGACGATTCTCTTTTCCTCAGCTAGATTCAATTGCAGTGACATTTCCTTCTGGCATGGGATGTGCTGTGAACTTCATCGAATTTCTTTGCGCTCATTCCCCAAACCTCAAGGACATCTGCATTGTAAAGGGAGGGAAGCTGCATACTGACCGGACTCACAAGATGTTCTCCCGGTTTGATAAAATTTGTTCTAATGCTAACGTTAAATATACACAAAAGCAATAAGTCTATCTGTGATCTTCATCTAATAAGTTTATAGTAGGGAAATGAGCTCATGTTTATGAGCCCATTGCTTTTGCAAGCTATCTGGTTGTCAGAGAAACTCTTTGTTTTTTCTTCTAAAAATTTAATCTAGATGAACTTCTAGACAATAGGTTGATCACTTTGAATATTTTGTCCCTTTTGTTTCTATTACTGTTTGATAATTTTCCTTGGTAGGGAAGACAATGTTGTGTTATTGCTGTGTAGTTACATATCTCATATCAAGATTTGTTTACAATACACCGGAGGTAATTGTTTTAATGCGTACCATCAACTGGAAGTAATTGTTTTAAAACTAAATTTAACCAATTTCCCCCTGAAAAAAAGTTCAATCATTTCAATTGTATTTTTTCGATTTTATTATGACATTGCCTTATAGATTAATTTCTTAATTTGGAATTTCTCCGAGAAACTGGCCCAAGATTATGAATAAAGATTAAAGAATTATTGTACCCTTTATTATCACCAAGTTGGCACTATTATCCGGCAACAGATTACTGTGGAGCTCAACATTGATTGTAAGTTTGTCTCTCTCATCATTATTACTCTTTTTGGGGGTGTTAAATAAATTTGCAATCTTTTGGTCATTTTTGTTGGCCATGGCTTATGTTGGAAACTACTATTGGTGGCTCATTATAGACCTTTTTTTGACATAATTTTATGGGGTTTTAGTTTTTTTGCTTGAATTTCTATATGTGATGTAAGGTTAGATGATTGGTTTTTGCTACTTATTATTCCTTCTATTCCTTTTGTTTGTCCTATTTGGAATCTTCAAAGGGAAAATTTAACTATTAAGAATTTTTTATAAATATTCGGAAAAAAAAATAAAAATTCACCTGGGATCTTGTTAGATTCATCATGACGTGTACTTTCTAGATTTCGACTTTTTATAATGCTTATTTGAAGATATAGATATTTAGTTATGTGCATGGGAAATTGTGTGCAAAGGAAAATGAGACAAACATAAAGCAGGAGTGTGCTGATTTGTGTTTTTATTTTACTTTATTTATTACTCTTTCCGTTCTTTTTAGTTCTACTCACTTTTAATTTAGTCTGTTCTTTTTTGTTCAATTCACTTTGCTATATTCTATTTTTGGCGTAACTCCTTTACCATCTTACCATTTCAAGCCCACAATCATTACACCTTTCCACACACTCTAACTTATTTTATTTTATTCACAATTTTGTTACACATATACACATTTTTTACATTCTCTTTAACATTATCCTACTTTTCTTACACCCACTCAAATTATTCAATATTTTCTAAAATTGCATATCCACTAGAACATAAATGAACGGGAATATTATTATTTTTGAGGATTTTGAAGAATATATGAATTAGAGAAGAAACTAGTTTTTGCATGGTTTAATGGTTAAGGCTTTAACACATCCACTTGAGGTCACATGATCAAATATAATGTATAGCATATCTTCATTGTTTTAATTGTATGTTGATGACGTGGAATGCAACATAAATTGTATTGGGAGAGCGCCACGTGTCACATAAACTTTTGTTGGAATGCTTTTTAATATATTATTATAGATTAAAGATTATAGGTACAATAGCTTTTCATGATATTACTACATTTAAGAAAAAATAAATTGTATTGAACAATGTTATTTGACCTGTTTAATAATTTGATCGGTGTAATGGATGTGAATATGACTAAAAGTGCTCCTTTTTTCATTGTTTGCTCAAGATTTCTGTTTAAGTTAGAATAATTGTTGTGACTTAGACTTTGTTTTTTGCATTATGAATTTATTATTTCTCCATATATAAAAATTCTTTAGTAGTTCAAGATTAAGGTTGGTACAAATTTTTTTCTTTCACTCTCTTCTTAATTTGGTGTTTTGTGCTATAGAGAGTGAGTATAACAGCCAATAATATCAAGCTTTATTGGATTTACTAAGCCAGGAAGCTAGACATTAGTAAGTTGTGAGACAATCTCTTACTTGGATGTGGAAGGTTGTGACTTTGTGGGGGATGATGTTCCTAATAGGGAAATGCCATTGTATTGTCAGACGGTGTATAATGCACACATGAGGGAAGCCCTGGCTTGCAACCTGGTGGAGGCTCTAATATTAATGCTAGATTATGTACTTCTGTTTAAATCGGTGTGTGCTATACGAAGTGTATGGTTGTAGACTGGTTCTTAAGTATGGAGCCACTGTGGAGTAATTTGCAAAACCATTGGCTGAAGCTGCCTTGTCTAAATTTTCCAGTTAACACTGCAGCTGGTCAATTATTTTTACACTTCAAAGAATATATTATTGGAATAAGTTTGGCTTACTCAAAAGACACCATGAATTTCCTTAAAAAAAAAAAAAAAAAAAAAAAAAACAAAAGACACCATGAATTTCATCTGTCATCTTTTAAGCTTCTATAGTTTTGAAGCGTTATTTTTTTGAGTGAGATTTTCACAGTCATGTTTTATACGTGATAACATTGTCTTAAGTGTCCGATGCTGTTAACCATTGATGTGCAATGTTTTAAGTGTGCAGTTTTGGTAAAAATCAATGTTTCAAGGATATTTGGATGGATACTTCTTTACTTGTCCAGAAGTTAAAGGATGAGAGTTGCACTTGTTCAGTTATTGGAATGGTAATATACTCACACAGTTCTAGCTGCTGTTTGTAATTTTATTATTATTTTTGAACAATTACCATCACACTACTTCTATATTTAACCTTCTAATCTAGTAGTTATTTTTATTATGAATGTTTGAGGTTAGGATCCCACTCAAACTACTTGGATATCTGGGATAGGTTTACGTCACTCAGGTAGCTGTTCATGTAATCTGCTGTTCGTTACACATGGCATATGTCTGATATAATATTTCTGTTAGTGAATTTGTGGACTGAGTTATGCAATTCATGTTCTTAATCTTCCTTTGGGAATCCTATTTTCTTGTTTGTTCTAAATTTACCCAGTATTGCGTCATCATCTCTGCATGACTTATTATTACGGTTCATAGTTAATTACTTCACCTTACACCTTTCTCATTGAATAGAAAAAAAAGACAAAACACTTGAGAATTTTGTATTTGAAGTGAGAATTTTCTTAAGATGTCAAATTAAAACGCCAGGAGGAATCATTCAATAATGCAATTTTATATTACACTGTGAAATGTTTGAATGATTAATGGCTGAGATTTAGTCTAATAGGTGGAGCTTTTATCACCTGTCTCCTAGCTCCAGTTTACGCTTCAAAGTGAGTGCATGAAGTATCTATGTGCTAATACAAAGCAAACTTTTATTTTTTAAAACTTTTTTTCTTTTAAAAATCTAATCCTATGACTTTGGTGGTAAATTATTTACTATTTAGTAATTTATAATTACTAAACTTATTAATTTATACTCTTTTTTTTTTTTTTTTTGGGGGGGGGGATGGGTGGGTGGCGTGGATGACGTGTGCTTTGCTGGAAAATTACTTCTATAGAAAGTGAGATTTTTTTTGATCTCTTTGATTTCTTTCCTAATCTGATTGATTCTATCCTAATCTGATTGATTTCTTTCCTAATCTGATTTATTACTTTAGCATTACTTATCTCAGGATAATGTCACATAATTTATCAATATGTTTTCTGTTGACTTGAACTTCCATTTCTCTCAGTCAAATCAAATACCCCGTAATAAAAATCCTCTCTTTGGCATACTTCCTGGTGCATGGTGGTGATACTGACAAAGACTATCACTTGGTAATTAGTATATCTATGTCATGATATTATATTATGTTTTCTTGTTGAATGGATTTTTCTTAACAGATCTAAACTGTGGAGTTTAGCATGATCAGTTCCTTATAGATGTATTTTTTTTTTTTTTTTTGTGAATTTATTTATTTATCATGGTGCAATTTAAGGATCTTAATAATGTAGTACGATCTGGAAATGTGTTCATGATGTCATCAATTGGTTCATACTATGTTTTTAGTTAGTCTATAATTTGCCTCTTTAACTAGTTAAGCTGTTGTTAATTGTCAATTTCTGTGTTACATAATTTTGTTTTTGCTTTGGATTAACAATTGGTTACGTGAACACAAAAGTTGGTGTTGGACTGGTTTTGTCCTCATTTTGAAGCTTTCCCTTTTTCTTTAAGATTTCTTGATTTCAAATTATTTAATTGCTGAATGCCTGTATCAAACTATTTACCTATGGCTATGCTTTTGATAAGGGAACCTTTGACATTAGTTTGGCCTCAGATCCTAAAGTAAAATTTCTACTCCTATCTACTTTTGCTTTTTATTAAAAAACATTAATAGTATGCAGGTATTCATAAGATACATAACAAATATGCATGTTCTGGCTTCAAATTTCAATGTTTTTCGTATTTGGTGTCTGTGTTTTTGTGTAACTTGGAGTTAGTGTTGAAAGGTCTTATGTTATGCTTGTCTATTAACTAGGTAATCTGCCACTGTTGTGTGTTGTCCTTCAGGAGATATTCTTGCCTTTTCAATTTAATTCTATAGACCAAGCTCTTTTAGTAGAGTAAATTGTGATGTTAACGAAGTCAAATAATTATAGGATCTAAGCTGTTGTTAAGAAGTATTTAGGTGGGACTATTATGTAAAGATTTTTTTTTTGTGCTCCCACCCATTGTGTTGGGCTGCTCTTTTGCAAATATGTAGGCACAGACAAGATATGTCACAAAAATGCGCGTGTGCTTGTTCCATTATGGTAAAATTGCTTATTTTTCAAATTTAGTGTCCTGTGAAATTTAAAAATAGTGTTGAGATTCTTATGCCTTGTTTGTCTCTTAATAAGATAATCAGTTACTGTTGACCTTGAAGAGATGTACTTGTTTTACAATTTTTTCCTTGACCAAGCTTTTCGAATAGGCTAAGAATGAAGATAAGATCTAGAGCATTGTTAAGAAAAATTTTGGTGGCATGTAACATCATATAGGTGCTTTGGCTCAGCCATTGAGCCTTACTATGATATTTGGTATCCTATTTAATATCGAAGTTTATCTGAATAGTCTTGCTAAGATTCATTGCAGACATACTATAGTATATTCTGTGACATAGTCTTGACTTTCATGTCAACTATATCTTTTGCTCCTATGAGAGTCAATTATTATTCAGAATCTTCTAGCTGCTCGGATTGAAGCTCGTCAATTTTAAGTGTACTTTCCAAAGATTCACTTAAGTGTTGGCTATTCACCCAGATAATATAATCCCCTGGCACACAAGAAATAACACCGGCCTATATTATCCTCTAGCTTAGCCATAAACAAAGATAATGGGTCAAATATGAAGTGATGAGAGGTTCTGTCTTCCCTGTAGAGGTGTCGGAACTCTAAGTAGGTTAAAGGGATTTCTCATGGACAATAGAAGGCTTGTGGGTTTGTCTTGTGGGGGATGTGAGTCAACTGTGCTGTGGCATGGCACTTTCATACCCTAAATGCACGCCCGTGCTTCATGTGAACAGAAGCTCCATGTGGGCTGCACTAGGGGGGTCATGAAGTTGTGTCCGCGTGAGTTTGAATTTGTGTGACTGGCACACCTAGGGGATTTGATGCCGGCATCGTTCAGGATTTATTTACATAATGTGTTAATTAATATAGCAGTTGTTATTAGGAATTTAGGATGTTATTTCTGATTGCATTTTATGTGCGAGTAAAGGAGATAATCTTAGTTCATTAATAATCTTACTGATTAGATTCAGAGAGTTTGTGAGTCTGATTACTGTCTTCTCATCAAGTTCTTATGCATCAGTCATATCAAAGTTCTAGTGTATTGTTGTGAATTTCTCCTGCATTTTGGGGTTCCTAGTACACCCGTGCCTTCAAAACTGTTTATGGTCTTTATTATCATGTATGTCATTATTGTTTGTTGGTTTGCAGATTTGGTGTAGCACCTATCCCCACATTCCCATGGTTCATTGACAGGCTTTGCTCGAATTATACATGGCTCACTTCATTGTTAAAGGACTTATGTAGTGCAGCATTGCTTGTGTAAATTCAATTAACCTGTTTGGACATTTCTCTCTCTCTTTTTTGAAACCGTTTGGACATTTCTGTTGATCTTCTGTATATTGACAGAGGCCGTATGAATAATTTTTCATTCCTAGGGCTCTGCATCATTATTGAATATCAGTATCTCTTGTCATTGGACAAATAAGCTCTTAAAATTTAACTTTTTCCCTTCTTTATGTCTTCTCGGGAAACCATTTTCAGAAGATCATAGTCTGGAATTTTTTTTTTTTTTTTTTTTTTTTTTTTTTTTTTTTTTTTTTTGTGGTTGGGCGCGAGGGGGGGGGGGGGGGGGGGGAGGTCAGGGATTGGTATAAGGGTCTCATGAGCACTAGAAATCACACTAATGAAGGTTATATGGGATTTCTTACCCTCTTTGGGTGACGATCTGGTTTAACAATCCCCCACTCATCTTCTTTCTCATAGGTTTGATGAAAATGAGTCCATAACCATTACTCCCCCTCCCTTCAATGCAACTCTAGAAGTTGAATTTAGTTTCCCTATAAATGCCCAGATTTTTCAAAAGGATATCTATGTTGTCATTCTCATTAAAGAACTTAAAGAAATAATAACCTATATTCTCCATCCTTAACGTACCTCAGATCTTAACCCCCTTGTTCTCCTTTCTCCCACTCGCCAGCTTACATACATTTTTTTACTCTTCTTTTGCTGCCTAGCACTCTTATCTCAAGTACATGCAGCCTGAAATTGTTTTTGGAGCAGAAATTAACATGTTGACTGCCTTTGAAGCATCTAAATGCCAGAAAATCTTCTGTCATTTGGAGTCAATGTTTAGCAGAGAGCATCATTCATTGGTGTCCTGAATTAATCTTGCCTCTGTTCTATGGAGATGTGACTTCCATTTTCTCGTTTCATATTTCATTTCTGAAATTTTTTGTAACAGGAAGCCATCGGTCAGCTGAGTGTCTGCTTAAATTGTGGTATCTGGCTTAAAAAATATCTCCACCTGTGTTGATTTGTGATTATGCATTTATTCACGATTTGTAATAGTTTTTTTTATGGCATACTATTTCTGTGAAACATGGAAAAAAAGTCTTAAATTAAGTTGTATGTCTTTTTTTGTCTACTATATCTACCTATTTTTGCTTATGCCGTGACAAGTCAATTGTGATCTGACTATTTCTTTTTCTTTGCTTCACCTTGTGGAGATTTTATAACACTTCAATTTACAGCATTGGATCAGCTTAGGAGATTTGCATAATTTGTGTTTTCTGAATTTGTGTACCCAGTGAGCAAGACCATGGCTGGCATGAGTCGTGTATCGAGTTCGGGAGAACAGGATCCCTCTGATTTGAATGCAGATAGGATAAGTAGTCTTCCATGGAATGTCCTAGACATTATTCTTGGGAAGCTATCAATAACTGAAGCTGTCAGGACTAGTGTTTTGGCAAAGGACTGGCGATATAATTGGCTTACCATGTCCAAGTTTTCCCTAAGTTCTGAAGAGATTGGTGAAGTACTTAATTCTAGGGATCCTAGGTGGGATTTATTATCTAGTATAGTTAGCAACTTCCTACTTCATCACACCACCACTTCAATTAAGACATTCATCCTGCAATCATTTTTTTGCTCACATTTTTCTGATTTGAGCAATTGGATTGAATTTCTCTCGAAAAAGGGTGTTGAAGAATTAGAACTTATAGAGTTTGGGGACCAATACTTAAAAATGCCCACACATCTATTCTCCTTTGAGAAGCTGAAGGTTTTGGTCATCGAATCATTTTCTTTACAGATTCCATCTTCTTTTAGAAGTTTTAAATTCCTGGAAGAACTTTCTCTCAACGAAGTTTCAATCAGTAGCGGTGACTTATATCGATTGATTCTAGCGTGTCCTCTCCTGCTGAATCTGACACTGGTGACCATTTCTGGAATTCAGAATTTTAGAATTCACTCACCCAGGCTGACTATGTTAGAAGTAGATACCGGATTTGTGGGTATTGATGTTGAATTTGCTCCATGTTTGTCTACAGTTAGTATTATAAATGATTACAGATCATTCACACCACCAAGGGTGATTCTCAACTGGCGCAGTGTTTCTCGTTCATTATCTGGTTTGATTTCTCTTCAAAGTTTGGCTTTATCAGAAATAATTTTTAAGGTAATTTTATGTTCCGTCTCTCAATGAGCTTTTGTGATTACCAGAACCTTCTACTAATATTTTTTACTGACTTGATGTCTTTTCTTTTTCAACTATATCGGATGGTTTCTTAGCTTTTGGTTGCTGAATGTGCACTTAAAGACTTTCCTTTGAGGAACAATACTCTGAAGTTTCTTACCCTTCGGGAAGTAAGATTTGATAATATTGAAGTTTTCAGGGTTTGCCTTTCTCTACTAAGCTTCTGCCCAAAGATCAAAACTTTCAGAATTACAGTATGTGTATGCCCCTTTTTTTTTTAGGTTACATCAGCCAAAGGTCCAAAGCTTATCACATCATTCTTAAAAGAAAAACCCAGGGCAGTACTCTTTTTTGGAGCTCGAAACACTGAATGTGAACTATCTTCCTGGCACTGGCATGGGATGTTCTGTGAAGTTCATCGAATTTCTTGTCACTCACTCCCCAAACCTTAAGTTGTTAAGCATTGAAACGGAAGGAGCATGTGAGTTAAATATCATTCGGGTTAACAAGATGCTCACACAGTTCAGGAAATTGTGTCCTCTTGCTTCAGTTCTGTATACCTTTGATGACCAAGAAACTAATTTGTGATCTCCATCAAACAAGTTTACAGAAAAAAGTTTGTCCCAATCTTATCAGCCATCGCTTTTGCAAGCTATTTGGTAGTCAGTGAAACTTTTTTTTTTTCAATAAATACAATCTTGATGAACTTCTAGACAATAGTTAATTACTTGAAGTGCTTATGTTACTGTGTTTTAATGTAAACTTTTTCTTGATGGAAGACAGTGTCATGTTATTGTTGTGTTATTATGCATTACCTTTTGACTGAATTTGTCTTGGTAATTTTTGTTGCAGTTTTATGAAAGCATTGCTTTTGTATTATGTATATTTTAAACACCGGTCTAGCACAACTTTACCCTTTAAAGCTTCTAGACCGAGTTCTTGTCAAACTTAGTAGAGCTATGTTGCTTTCTTACTCCGTTGAAGACTTTCTCGTTAGGGTTAACATTTACTCCATAATTGTAAGACTAACATTTTCAACCAAAATTTACAATAAAAGTAATGAAATAATTAAAAAGTTAAGAAACATTCAAAACTAAATCACACTTTTTTATCGGTTTTAACTTAGTGATGATAATAATTTGATAAATCAATCAAGTTAAGGTCAAGTTAGTAATAAAATAACCAATTTTATACGATTTTTCAAACTCATTTGATAAATCAATCAAGCTAGGATCGAGGAATTTTAATCCATTTATTATGACCCCCGACCACAAACCGTACTCAATAAATCAATTGAGTTAGGATTGCGGGGTTATAAATCTGTTTATTATCATCCCGGACATAAATCCGACTCCATCTGTTAAAATGTTAAGCACCCCCCACGCCAGGATTATGAAAAAGGAACATAAATAAACCAAGAGAAGTTTGAAAAGACTGCCTTAAACAGGGCGAGGTGTAGAGTTCACTGTTTTCCTTTACCGTCACAAACTCGAGCTTTCTCCGGTCACGAATTGTTGACGGTAATTTCTATATTTTTCTCTAACTTATTACCCTTTTTGGGGTTGATAAAAATAAGCAATTTTTAGGTCATTTTTGTTTGTTATTATGGCTAAATTTGGAAATTATTGTTTTTCTTGTTCATCAAAATTTGACATGGGTTTCGTTTGTGGGGGTTTTTTTTTGGATGTTTTCTTTGAAATTCTAACTATGAAGATGAATTTGATGATGATTTTTTTGCAATTACTATGAATGATATTCTGGGACAATGTGTTTTTGTTGAAAAATTGAAGAATAATTGAGCATGCAGAAAATCTGGAAACAATTTGGTTAAGATGGCAGAATTGTTTTATAAAGTGAGGAGCTTGTTTAACATGAATGAATTTATTTATGCTTCCAAATTTCAATGCTAGATGGGTAGAAAATGTTACAAACAAAATTTATGAAGTGGATGTGATGGAACATTTTCTCTAATTGCTATTCTTAAGTCGAGCTAGATAATCGTAGCGAATTGTGGACTATTATTACTGTGGAATCTGGGAAAGATATCAACTTCCTCAATGGAATTTTTGCATATAAGGTTTTTATGACCCTTACCTTTAATAAAATATATTAGAGATTTTAAACCATCCTCCTAAATGAATTAGTATGCTTGGATTATCTTTAATAAATTTAAGGACTTAGTTAATTTATTTCCGACATCTTGAGTGTAACTCTGTAACGGCCAGTAATCTTGGGATTTTTGGACTTAACTCAAGAAGCTAGACATTAATTAGTTTGTGAGATATTATATCTTATTGAATGGAAGGTGACTTTGTAAGGATGATTGTTTTAATTGGGAAATACTAAATGGATTAAAATGCTTGGACAATGTTTGATATTTGGACTCTAATCCCGGTATAACGGCCTATAGTTTTGGGTTTTTTGGACTTGTGATTTATGAACCAAAGAAGCTAGACATTATAAGTTTATGAGACCAAATGTCTTACTTGAAAGTGGAAGGTTCTGACTTTTTGAGGATGATTGTAAAATCAGGAATATATGCAAGTAGTAATGTATATGACCAATGACCTTCCATGAGGATAGCTCTGGCTCGCAACTTGGTGCGGCCTGGGGGTTCAAACTTATTAAGCTACATTATGTACTTCTGATTGAAACAGTGTATGATACATATAGTTGTCAAAGGGTTCGTAAGTATTATTATTTGCAATTTCTGGGGCTGAGGCAGCCCCAGTGCATTTTACCTCGTATGTCAATCCTTTATGTTTTCTATTCTGTCTAGTAATCTATTTGTTATATATTGCCCCTGCTTGTAGATAATGCAGTCTGAAGAATAAATTATGGGGATAAATTTGGCTTACTCAAAAGGCACCATGAATTGCATGTCTTCTTTCAAGCTTCTCAAGTTTAGAAGCATTCTCTATTTCTCTCCTTTGGTAAGTTTTTTTTTTTAAGTACATATCTTTTATTTAATAACATTGGCTTAAGTGTCTAACACTTTTAACCATCGATGTGATGTTTTAGGTGTGCAATTCAGATAAAAATCAATGTTTCGAAGAGATATTGGATGGAGAATCACCAGACTGCCACTTCTTCACTTGTGTGACAGTTGAAAAGATGGGAGTTGCACCTTTTCAATCACTTCAATGGTAGGATGTGTAGAATATTCAAGGTGTTGTTTTAATGGTTTGTTAATCATCTCTTACAATACCTCTATACCTACTAGGCAAGCAGTGATAGGTTTATTCTAGTTGGGTAGCCACTATCTTACTAGCTGAAAATACAAAAAAAAAAATAAAATTGCCAGTGGATTTATACTGCCTGATTTTTTAAATTATTGGCCAGTGAATTTATGAATGGAGCTGCAAAATGCATGTTTTTGACATCTCTTTAGGAATCCTGTCAATACTTGTAGTTTGTAACAAGACTTACCTTAGTTTGTTAAATATTTACACTTGATTTTAAAAACAATTACTTTATTTGTATGAATAGAACAATATAGATGATTAGGAGTATTTCAATCAATCAAAGTCTTAATCCCATAAGTGGGGTATGATGATTAGGAGTATTTGATGTGGAAATTTTCTTGTCAAATGTTAAATTAAAATAGCAGGAGGTAACATTCAAACTTTCAATTTAAGGCAGTGTTGATATATGTTCCGAAATTCAGATGTTAATGTTTGAAATTTTAGCCCAATAGGTGGGTTTTTTTTTTTTCTCTTTTTCCCTCATCCCCCTCTTACTCTTTTTTCATATCCCAAATTGCCCATTTTGCACGTTTTTTGAGCTTTGGGGTTGTTTAGACATGGGACTAGGGAGTAGGATGATTATGGGTTTTTTGTGTAGTTGGTGACAATTTCGATAAAAGGAATAAGGTATTTATTTGCATGAGATAAGACATGGTATTTACATAAATAGTTTGTTCACATTTGGATTGCATCGAGGGTCTGCATTAAGCCTTTTTCTATTTGCAACGGTTCTAGATGAAGTAACTAGACCAATTTAAGATGAGGTACCGTGATGTATGTTGTTTGCGGATGATATTGTTTTGGTGGATCAAACTAAAGATGGGGTTAATGCCAAATTGGAGCAATGGAGGCAAAGGTTGGAACCTAGAGGGTTTCAAGCTAAGTCAGAGTAAGACTGAATATTTGGTATGCCGCTTTGGTACACGGAGGGGGACAAGCGATGAAGTAGTGAGCTTGGATGGAAAGGATTTGACCATGAGTAAATGTTTTAAATATCTTGGGTCGATCTCCAAAAAAATGGTGATATTGATCAAGATGTGGCTACATACGTTGTGTTATTTCAGAATTTAATCAATTTAGAAAAGACCCAACAGGATTAAGTCGGGGTGGCTTAAATGGAGATTAATGCCATTGATTAATCTCCAATTCATTACAATCTTGAGGTCATATTTGGAGATTAATCATCCCTTGCAACTTTTCACTACTAATGCAACATATTTTCAAAACAGGCACATAGATATATTGGTAGGCACGTCATGATTTCAAACTAACTTATTAACCCCGGTGGACACCCACACATTCATTTCAACCAATCAATCAAAGCCTTGATCCCGGACCTTCACTACAATTTTAGAAAAAATATTTTTCAAAATTTGGACGTAATACGTAGATTATGGAATCCCAACTTAGATGATCCTAGTATACCCCGCACTTTCACTTCAATTTTGTAAATAATTTCCAAGAATTGGCCAGAGAATAACCTTAAGTTATGGACAAATTGTCGAAATTTTAGAACTGAAAAGAACACAAGTTAGGGTGCCTTCCATAGAGCCACGACACTCTAGATTTCCTTTTGGTTAATTGGAACCTTCTTCTTTGCCTTTAATTGCCAAGTTATCCGTTACTACTTTTGACTCACTTCATTAACTAAAGGCCAACACGAGACTATGTGTGATCGATTAGTGCTTATATATGGTTCCAAACAATATCATATGACCTCGAGATGCATCCCCTACAACCTCGAGGTTTTTTTACGCTAGTTATCGAAATCTTTAAAATTGGTTTGATTCCGTGTATTAGCCTTTTTATTTAGTCTTTTTGACAATTTTTTACTTTTTCGCATTTAAAAAGGAAAGAGGTTAGGGTGTTTCCATGGATCTTACAACATCGGGGAGGCCATTTGAGTGATTTGAACTATTCACTTCGCTTTTAAATAGTTAATTTAGCCATTTACGTACAAGCCTTCCTTAATTAATTCAAGGCTAATACATGCCTTTATATGACTAACTAGTGGTCATGTTTGGTTTCAAACAACGTTATATGACCTCAAGATGCTTCCCCTACAATTTTGAGATTGTTTTTACTCTGGGTCCCAAAACCTCGAAAATAATCCAAAAACATGGATTATAGCCTTCAATTTGGACATTTATTTTACATTTCTGGATCTAGAAAGGAAAGAGTTCGGGGTCTTTCCCATGGATCCTCCGACACCTCGGGAGGCCATTTGGCTCATTTGAGTGGTTGGAATCGTCTACTTTGCTTTTGAACAATCAATTTGATTTTTTTTTTTTTTTATTTTTTTTATTGGCTAAGGCCACCTAGGACCTTTATGTGACCGACTAATGTACCTATATGGTTCAAAATAACATTATGTGACCTTTATTCAAAAAAAAAAAAAAAAAAAAAACATTATGTGACCCTCGGATATGTCCCCTTTGTTTCCGTGAGTTTTTGACATCGTGTCTGCCCTAAAATTGATAGTATCGTTGTGTTAAGAACGAGCTATACGACTCGGAGTCCCACCGGGGGCGGGAAGGGGGGGGGGAATAGTGGGGAATCCCTGGTTGTGAGTCGGTCCGCAA